CCTTCTTCTTAACAAACAATACCGGTGCACCCCAAGGCGAGACACTAGGTCTAATAAAGCCCTTATCAAGAAAATCTTGCAACTGCTCCTTCAATTCTTTCAACTCTAGCGGGGCCATGCGATACGGAGGAATAGAAATGGGGTGAGTGCCCGGAGCCAAATCAATGCAAAATTCGATATCCCTATCGGGTGGTATCCCTGGCAGGTCTGCAGGAAATACCTCTGGGAACTCCCAAACAACTGGCACAGAATCCATAGAAGGAACCTCAGCACTAGAATCACGAACATAAGCCAAATACACTAAACACCCCTTTTTAACTATACGCCGAGCCTTCACATACGAAATAACCCTGCTGATAGAATGACCAAGAGTCCTCCTCTACTCCAATCGAGGCAACCCGACAAGGCTAAGGTCATGGTCTTGGCGTGACAATCCAATATAGCATGATAAGGTGACAGCCAATCCATCCCTAAAATGACATCGAAATCCACCATATCGAGAAGTAGGAGGTCTACACTAGTCTCAAGACCCCCAATGACAACCACACACGAGCGATAGACATGATCTACAATAATAGAATCACCCACCGGCGTGGACACATATACGGGAGCACTCAAAGAATCATGAGGCACAACCAAATGTGAAGCAAAATAAGAAGATACATAGGAGTATGTAGACCCTGGATCAAACAGAAGTGAAGCATCTCTAATACAAGCCAGAACAGTACCTGTGATAACAGCATCGGAGGACTCAGCCTCAAGCCTGGCTGAAAAAGCATAACATTGGGGCTGGGCCCCACTACCCTGAACTATATCTCTGGGACAGCCTCCTGCGGGTTGTCCTCCACCTCTAGCGACTTGGCCTCCACCTCTAATGGCCTGACCTCCACCTCTAGCGGTCTGACCCCTATCTTTGCCTCCCTGACCCCTACCTCTAGCTAGCTGGGCAGGCGGTGCTGGAATCATGGCAAGAGAACTCTGCTGTTGCGATTGAACACCCACTAATCTCGGACAAGCCCTCCGGATATGACCATACTTGCCACACTCAAAACACCCATCTAAATATTGCGGCTGAGGAAACTGAGACTGACCCTGTCGGGCTGGCTGACCGCGATAATAACTCTAAAGAGGAGGTGCTCTGATAGGAGCTGGGGGTGCACTCTGAGCTGGCTACCCTGAAAGAGGCACATAAGGACCACGACTCCCTAAAGCTCTATAGGATGCCTCAAGCGCTGAATGAAACGGCCTGGGATGATGGACTCTACCAAAAGAATCCCTGCCTCCAGACGAGACACCACTGAACCTGCCAGAATGACGAGGCCTCTTGTCAAACCCCTGACCACTACCCTGAGCTAAGATCATCTCAACTCGTCTGGCCACATTGGTTGCATCCTGGAAAGAAATCTCACTCCTGGTCTCCTTAGCCATCTGCAATCTAATAGGCTGAGCAAGTCCCTCAATAAATCTCCTCACCCTCTCTCTCTCGGCGGGGAGTATAAGAAGAGCACGATGGGTCAAGTAAATAAATCTGGTCTCATACTGAGTGACGATCATAGAACCCTGCTGAAGGCGCTCAAACTACCTCCGATAGTCCTCTCTCTGAGTGATAGGGAGAAACTTCTCCAGAAATAGCTGAGAAAACTGATACCAAGTCAAAGCAGGCGAACCAGCTGGTCTAGCCAAGCAAAAATCCCTCCACCATTTCTTGGCGGAACCTGATAAGCGAAAAGCAACAAAGTCGACCCCATTGGTCTCCACTATCCCCATGTTCCATAGAACCTCATGTCAACTGTCCAAATAGTCCTGGGGATCCTCTAAAGATGTACCGCCATACGTAGTAGTGAAAAGCTTGGTGAACCTATACAACCTCCACAAAACATCTGCAGACATAGCTGCTCCATCGTCGCTCTGTGCTACAACACCCGGCGGGACTACCCTAACTGGCTGAGCTGCTGGAGTCTGAAACTGGGGAGTCATCTGCTCCGGAGTGTGAGTATCGGGAGTTTGTGCTCCTCACCCAGCACGAGAGACGGCTGGTGTTACTGGAAGTATGCCTGCTTGAGTGACACTCTCCATAAGGCCCACTAGACGGACCAGAGCATCCTAGAGTATCGGGGTAGCTATGAACCCCTCTGGAACCTGAGCTGGATCAGGTTCCAGCTAACTCACAAGCTAACTCAAATTCCCCATATTACTAATACCTCAGTTCACACAATGGAATATCACTAGGATTATGAAACTTCACCAGTGAAAACTACTCAGCGAGACCAACCTAGATGCACCATAAGGCACCAATAAATCAATATAAGCCAACAGGGTAATAAAATGAAGCTACAAAACAAATAATACTTTAATGGAACATCAACAGCTAACATGAAACAATTAAATAATTCAGTAAAGAGAACAATAGTTAATACGAAGTAATTAGACATGGAAACATTTATGGGCAAGTAGCAATTAAGGCAGGAAAGTAAGATATAGGGAGACAGGGAAAGGAAACGGGCTAAACAAGTAATTTGGTGATGCATAGGTACTCGTCACCACACTATACGCCACACACATGATATCTCACATAGCAAGCAAGTCGGGGATCCCTAGACCCTCAAGTCAAGGTTAGACCAAACACTTACCTCAAGCCACGAGTATTTCAAAGCTCAACCACCGCTTTACCTCTCGATTCCACCACCAATTCACTCGTATCTAGCCATAATTAACTTAATAACATCAATAAACACTAAAGAACCAATTCCAATGCATAATCAAAGATTTCCCAACATTTTTCCCAAAAAGTCAAAAATTGACCCCGGGCCCGCTTGGTCGAAACCCGAAGTTCGGACCAAAACCCGATTACACATTCACCCCCGAGCCCGGATATACAATTGGTTTCGGAATTCGACCTCAAATTGAGGTCCAAATCCCCCAAATTCGAAATTCCTAAATTCTACCCAAGAACACCCAATTTCCCATGAAAATCCCTAGATTTTGGGATGAAATCATGTAAAAAGATGAAATAGATTGAAGAAAATGAGTTAGAAAACACATACCTATGATTTGGAGAAGTTTGGGTCTTTGAAAAATCGCCTAGGGAGGTTTAGGGTTTGAAAATTTGAGAAATGAGTTCGGAAGCCCGACTGAGTGATGTTTTGATCAGTTGCAGGTATCGCACTTGCGATCACATGTTCACAAATGCGACCAATGCTTCGCAAATGCGAAGCTTGGCCTGGCCTGCTACCTTCGCAAATGCGAACCATTTGGTCGCAAATGCGATACTCCCCTAGCCTGACTTCTTCGCAAATGCGAAGATCTATTTGAAATTACAAACACTGGCCTCCTAAGCTACTCTTCGCAATTGCAATGAGTACGTCGCAAATGCGAACCCAACAGTGGTCGCAAATGCGAGGCTTGATCTCACAATTGCGAGATCAGAGGCTCTGCAACAGAACTGAAACCTGCAACATTTTTACCAAGTCTAAAACACTCCGAAGCATATCTAAAACTCATCCGAGCCCTGGGGGGATCTAAACCAAACATGCATAAAAGTCTAAAAACATCATACGGACTTGCTGGTGCGATCAAATCGCAATAATAACATCTTAAACAACGAATTTAACACCAAAAGTCATGAAATTCTCAAGATAGTTCAAAATTTCTATTTTCTCACCCAAGGGTCCGAATTACATTAAATTCTTCCAATTCTCACCAAATTTCACAGATTTGACTTAAATATTATATCAAACCAGTACCGGGCTCCGAAACGAAAATACGGCCTTATACCAACGAGATCATACACTATTCCATTTCTAAAAATCCTTATATTTTCCAGCAAACAATCTTCTTCAAAAACTCATTTCTCGGGCTAGGGACCTCGGAATTCGATTCCGGGCATACGCCGAAGTCCCATATTTTTCTACGGACCCTCCGGGACCGTCCGAACACGGGTCCGGGTCCGTTTACCCAAAATATTGACCGAAGTCAACTAAAATCCTATTTTTAGCCAAAAATCATTATTTCTTAAATTTTTCACATAAAAACTTTCCGGTATTGCGTTGAGGCTAAGCACGCAAATCGAAGAGAGATAAAAGGAGGTTTTTAAGGCCTCAAAATATGGAAACGGATTTTAAAAAAGGTCATCACATGTTGTGATAGAGTCAACTAATGAAACCAGCAACAATCCACCAGAACCTCAAAAGGAGTCAACTACTCATATAGTTCGTCCAAATGAATGGAGAAGTGAACCTGAATATCCTCAAAAATTCATCATAGGAGATCCAAGCGAAGGAATGAAAACCAGGGGACCTCTCAAGAAGAAAGCAAACAAAGCCCTAATCTCTCGGATTGAGCCAAAGAAAATGGAGGAAGCTCTAAAAGATTCAAGCTAGGTACAAGCGATGCAGGAAGAACTAGACCAATTCGACAAAAATCAAGTATGGAAACTGATACCCAAACCTGAAGGTGTTCCTGTAATTTGAACAAAATGGGTCTTCAGAAATAAACTAAATGCGGATGGAAAAGTTGTAAGAAACAAAGCTAGATTAGTTGCTTAAGGATATTCACAACAAGAAGGAGTCGACTATGACGAAATCATTGCCCCAGTGGCTCAACTGGAATCTATACGAATTCTTCTGGTATATGCATCTTTTAAGGGATTCAGGCTATTTCAGATGGATGTTAAAAGTGCCTTTTTAAATGGTTTCATTGAAGACGAAGTATATGTGAAAAAACCTCCTGGGTTTGTAGATTCAAAGTTTCCATATCATGTGTATAAGCTAACCAAAGCGTTGTATGGACTGAAGCAAGCTCCACGAGCATGGTACGAAAGACTCGGCTCTTTTCTTATTGATCATGGTTTTACAAGAGGTAAAGTAGACACTACTCTATTTATTGAAAGATCATCAGAAGGTAATCTCATTATTCAAATTTATGTTGATGATATTATATTTGGTAGTGTTAATCCTCTTATGTGCAAGGAATTTTCAAATCTTATGCAAAGTGAGTTCGAAATGAGTATGATGGGAGAACAAAAGTTCTTCCTTGGACTTCAAATCCAACAATATGAAGAAGAAACATTCATATGTCAGACCAAATATACAAAGGAAATGATCCAAAAATTCAGTATGAGCAATGCTAAATCTATTGGCACACCAATGAGTCCTTCAACAAGACTTGACAAAGACGAACAAGGAAGTCCTGTTGATGAAACTAAGTATCGTGGAATGATTGGCTCACTTCTTTATCCAACTGCCAGTCGATCGGATATTATGTTTAGTGTCTGTAAATGTGCCTGGTTTCAGTCAGCTCCTAAGGAATCACATCTGACTGTAGTAAAAAGAATTATTCGATATCTTATTGGAACTATCTCTCATGGTATATGGTATCCTCGTTCTAACACGTTTAAATTAGAAGGTTTTTCAGATGATGATCTTACAGGTGATAAGGAAGACAGAAAAAGCACAAGTGGAACATGTCAATACTTGGCAAAGCATTGATATCTTGGACGGCTGAAGCTGAATACATCGCTATTGGAAAATGTTGTGCACAATTATTATGGATGTCTCATCAACTTGGTGACTATGAATTATCGTTTAAGACTATACCAATTTTCTATGACAATTCTAGTGCTATATGTCTCTCTAAAAATCCTGTGCATCATTCTAGGACAAAGCATATAGACATCAAGCATCATTTTATTAGAGATCATGTTCTTAAGGGAAGCATAGAAAATCTTTTGTTGGAACTACTGATCAATTAGTAGATATTTTACCTAAGCCCTTATTACAAGAGAGATTTTGCTCTCTAAGAAAATTAATTGGCATTATTTGTATTAATAATTAATATTAGAACCTATGTGCTATTTTTTATTCTGTATGCCTAATGTCTTTTTCATTTCTTAATCATTAGTTGCGCCCCCGATTTCCCTCTCTTTTTCTCTCTTTTCACATCAATTGCAGAGTTCAAAGAAGGAAAGCCAATCATCACGTCTGATCAACTAACGCCTTTTCCTTTTTCTGTACTCAACCGTCAGAAATTCTCTTTTTAATGCTGAAACCTCTTTTCAATCCGCATCGTCCCTATCGCCTAGAAACCCTTCTCAAAAACTCTGCCCAAAAACAAACTCTTCAATGGCCAAACACCCCAAAAATCGCTCTACCTCCACTAGAAAGAGTACTCGCTTCAGAGCAAAACCCCCTTCTCCGCCCCCAGAACAAGTAGACCTAGGGTCCGATCATTCTGAAGGTTTTGCCTCTTCTTAGGCCGATTTGTCTGATCATTCTCAAACCTTAGAAGAAAAAGCTTTGGGAAAACGTCCTATCGAAGAACCCCCCCCCCCCCCCCGCTTCCTTCACTCCAAAGAAGCCTAAAATAGATCTTTCTAGTTCCCTAGAGTCGGACCTAAATTTTTGGGATTCTCCAAATAGGGACTTCTTCTTTGCCCTGAAAGACAAGCCTCTTGCTCATGGGAGGGTTATCGACCTTGATGATATGGAAGCCCTAAATTGTAAGGTAAAAGATCTTTTCGTTTATCAAGGGTGGTCAAAGTTCTTTTCCGTTCCTCCGCTTAAAGTCTATGAAGCCCTAGTGAGAATGTTCTATGCAAACCTTCGCTCTAGAAAGCCTGATAAATTGGAGTTTTTAGTGTTAGGAAAGCGTATTGTTCTTGACTGTGCCATGTTTGATTCATTTCAGTGTAAGTGCTCTGGTTTCCCCATGCTTTTCAAAAATTCCTGGCCCGATGATTTTGAAATTTCTTTTGATCAAGCAAAAAGGTGTATTGCTGAGTGTCCATCTGAGTCTCTCCCAAACCAGTTAGGCCTTAGTGATGTTAGTTTCGAAACTCGAGTTCTGGCCCACATTGTTGCAACCACTCTGCTTCCTCGTACTGGCTCTTTCTCCACCATTTCTCTAAGAGACACTTTTTTGGTCTATTGTCTTGTGACTAAACTCAAAATCAAGTTGTCCTACTGGGTCATCAATTTTATGATGGAAAGTGTAGATGATCCCGCTAGTCCACCCTATGGTATGGCCATCATTCACATCGTGGAAGCTCACAATATTTCTACATCTGCATATCCCTTTATCTCTGTTTCAAAATCTTACAACTCCAGAGCTTTTGCGAGTATGGGTATTTGTGTGTGAAGGGCTCATGGGTTAAGAAACAAGAAAGAGAAGTCAAGCATGCTCAAACAGATTCCAAACCCAAACCTTCTGTTTCCCATCCTAGCCTCATTGACCCTGGCCTTGCTGAGAAGCACAGTGCCATTGACAATCAGCTATCTGCAATCAAAGATCTTCTCTCTGCCACTCAGTCGACTGTTGGTGATACTCATGCTATCTCCAAAGAAACAGGGTCTGATGTTTCCAAGATCAGAGTTGCAGTTCTTAGAGTAAGGGAAAACGCTATCAAGGCATTCAAGGAGGTTCGTGATAGGCTTGATGGATAAGTGTTTTAGCCAATGATAGTTTTGATCGATTGAAGGAGGCGATCTGCAATACTCTTACCTATTTTCTACATCGTTAATGTGGAAGTTTAAGACAATATTTCTTTTGCTGTGCTGTTTTTGGGCTGAAAAATCAGTCGCCGGACAATATTCCCTCTTTGCTAATGTCAATAAAGGGGAGAGAAGATATATGTATTTGTACAGGTACATACAAGGATAAGTCGACTAGAGGGGAAGTGCAACTAAACAGATCGGCACCTTTTGAGGGGGAGTAATAGATCCTGCAGAAGAAGTCGACTGCATGAGTGTCAGCAGCTACAACCAAAGAAAGTTAACTGCTCTCGTTGAGGGGGATTAATATACAGGGAAGTCAACTGATGTTTATACATATATTATTTTGTCATCATCAAAAAGGGGGAGATTGTTAGATCTCATTTTAGTGATGAAAATAATATATTTATTCTTTGTATAGGAACTCATGGATAGCATTAAAGATTGGAGGACTCAATCAGAAAAGATCATGAAGAGCATACAAGATTGACAGAATCCATCAGAGAAAATTAAGGAAGGCATCCAAGATTAAAGAAGTCAATGATACTGACGGAATCAATCAAGCCTAAACTGAAGGAATCAAATTAATCAAGAGTATCGAAGATCTTGCAAGATAATCAATCAAGGATACTAAATCTGGAAGGATCAAGAATTGAGGAAGGATATCCGGCGCTATCAAATCACGCATAAGGGAAGTCATTAAAGCCTCACGTCAAGCCATAGCCGTTGCTGAGTAACCTTATTCTTGGAAAGAATCAATTTCTTTCCAAGGATCAAATCTCTTGGGTTGGCAAATCTCTCAAGAAATCAAGCCTCTCTCAAAGTATTTAAACTTGTATATATACCTTAGCACATATACTTTGATCGAACCAAATACCCTCTCTTTGTTCTACTACAAATAAACATTGTAGCTCTACTAGACCTGCTGTGTAACAAGTGAGAGAAGAAAGAGAGAACAACACTGGTGAGGCATTGTATCAAAGAGAAACGAGTGATATAGGAACTAAGCTATCAGTGTAGATCACATCATTCAGTGTGTACTCGAGAAACTCATTCACAGAAAGAGAACTCCCTTGCAACTCAAGGGGACTGGACTAGAATTCACATTGAATTCGAACCGGTATAAAAATTCCGGTGTCTTTAATTCCTGCACTTAATTTCTGCATCTTAAATTCTGTTCTTACTGCTATTAATTCGTTATATCTAGTCGACTCATTAAAAAACTAGTCAACTGGTAGCAATTGTTTTTAAAAATAAACAATTCACCCCCGGTACTTTCAAGTGGCACCTTAGTAGCTTAATTAGGTGCTTCTACCTCATTAAACTATTGATTTCTTGCTAATGTCTGTGCTTACACGATAGAAACATCAAACTATCATTAGTAATACCCACACGATTCCGACTTTTTAAAACTATACTTTCTGGAGAAATATTTCAAATATTATGACTTTTTGTGGATGCTCTCCAATAATGCAGCGGAGCACTCCTTTTAATAGTTAACAAAAATTTAACCTCAAGCTGCTCGTTTAAGTCAATTGAACAACTCCACTTTAACTGAATTGATGCTCCTTTTGGTTGGAAACTAAAGGCGAATCTTGTACATTTTCTATTTTTTCTTCAAAGTACAAATTGAAGTTGAACGTATAGGTACTTTTATTAACGAAATTCCCGCGAGCTTTATATTTCCTGTATTAATTACATAACATGACAAAATTTAAGCAGGGACTTCATTTGCCTAGTTTTTCCTAAATTTTTATATATATTCTAAAGTCAATTTTTGTTGTAATTGAATGGAACTTATGCGATGAAATCTTAGGGCCATGATTTTTGGAGAGAAACAAGAGAACAAGCATCTACAATATCATTTATGTAAGATTAAAAAGAAAAAGCAACTTTGTGTACCGAAAATTAAAGTAATGAAACTCTTTAAATTTTGTCTTTAATAAAATTATCAGCAAAAAAAAAAAAAAAGGAAACTAAAAGTGAAACAGAAAGGCAGGAATTCGTGGTACTTCTTGGATACTAATACATAAGAATATCGAATTGGCACTTCACATTTCACAAAGCAGAATGATGGTGATGATTGCATTGATGCTTTCTTTTTGTATTCATTAAGCTTCTAAGTAAAGCTAATAATGTTTGCCCACGCAATTTTCCATAAATATAGATATTCCAAAGTACATCATGGCAATGCTAAAAGTAGCCTATCACTAAGCTTGTGAATACGCTAGTGTTTTGAGTAAAATTTGGTACCTCATCAAGTCTAAGTTACTACTTATGATAATCACCAAGTGAAACCAATTAATCATTTATTTTTTCACATCAAGTAGACCAATTTTCCTATTTCTTCTTTGTTAACAAATACTCGAACTTAAAGAGTCTTGAAATTCGATGGACCCAAAGGGAGGCCGGCGCGCTTCCACCAAGAAAATGGAAAAAAATTAAAAATTGTTACAAAAATTGCTCAAAGTAATAATATAAAACAAAAAGATAGACAACAATGTAGAGAGAAAGAGAAAAGAGAAGCTATTTCTTCCATGTATTCAAGTGTCTACCATATGATGTCCAAACCCTCTACTTTATTGTCACGACCTTAGTTCACCAACCGTGACATGTCATGACGGCACCTGGTCCCCATGACCAGGTAAGCCTAACATTTGCGGAAATACAATAATTATGGAAAAATAGAGAAAATCAAATCAAATATCTAAAGGAAACTGTACTGAATGCCGCTTGGCAAGTACAACTCAATATCACAAGTCTAAACAATTCCCAAAACCCGGAAACTCACGGGCAACACAGGCTACAGAAGTGTATAGTATAGGTTCCAAACTCCAGAATTTCTAACAACCGAAAGAAGAAAAACTAAGTACTAAAGATAGAATAAGAGGGAGACTCGTCGGTCTGCGGACGCAGCAGATCTACCTCGAAGTCTCCGTAGTCCTCCTGCCTCACTGATAGTGCGCCTGGGTAGAGGTACATGGATGATCTGCACATGA